TATATCTATATCTATATCTATGTCTATGTCTATGTCTATGTCCATGTCCATGTCCATGTCCATGTCCATGTCTATGTCTATGTCCATCTCCATGTCTATGTCCATGTCTATGTCTACATCTGTGTCTATATCTATGTCTATTTCTATATCTATTTATATCTATCCTATTTTGGGGCACAAACTTTCCAGTACTTTGTTTTATTAATTTACTTATTTCTCACAAGAAACCATAGGATAGATAGAGTGTTACTCCCATTTCACAGTTGGGAAAAAGATGTACAGAAAGTTCAGATAAAGTTCCCTAAGTCTCATAGCTACTGAATAGTTGAAACGGAGTTCAGACTTAGGCATCCATGAGTCTTACACTCATTGACTGTCCCACACCATCTCTCAGTAGGTGGGACTAAAGAACTGATTTGTGTTTTGCAATAGGGACCACTAAAATTTACTTCTAGGTACCCACTGGCAGCAGTTTAGGGGCAGTCCTTGCTGCCATGAAAGGGGTGTGTGCGTGTGTGTGTGGTGTGTGTGGTGTGTGTGTGTGCATGTGCATGTGTGTGTGCATGCACGTATGCACACAGAGAGGCACAGCAGCAGGATGACTCAGGGTGGGTCGCAGCTAGTGATGAGCGATGGAAGGCAGGATGGTGTGAAAGTGATTCATTGAGAAGCGAGCTGTATTGTGTGGACCAGCAACCTGAGGCTGCCTTCCCCCACCTCAGCTCCCATCCAGTGAGCTGTTCCAAGTGCACACTCCTACCGTTAGGAGGGACCAGGCCAGTGCGTGGGCAGGGGGTAGACACATGGTCAGCAGGGCACCGCTGGTCCTCGGCATCAGGGAGCAGTCCAACCCCCAGTCAGCGCTGGTGCCCAGCCCCCAACAGAGCCCTGTGCAGATGTTGCTGGAGGGCCTCAAGGGGCTCCAGGGAGGAATGTGAGCTCTGCCCTCCTGGAGTCCTGGGCCAGTGACACACTGAGTGACCTTGTCAGGCTGGATCCCTTCTTTGCAGCGTTACTTTGTTGTGGGCAGAATGAATGAGGTTGGCCTGGGGCATCAAAGGGTTTTCCTTCCTCAGAGATTGTACAGCATTTTGCTTCTAAGAATCTGAGTCTTAGGACCCAGTATGAGCTTAACTAGGGGATATTTGGCATAGTGGAAAGCCAGCATCTTGTTGGCAAGTATGGCAGACAAATAGAAACCTCTGTGATTTGTTCTCCAAGGACAACGCTGCACCACGGCTGTTACTGCCTTAGAGCGTAATGAGCACCTGTTAGAGGTTTGTTCCACCCTAGTGCCCTTTTGCAGGAAGACAGGGACTTTGGCTCTCACATACCAATCATAAAAAGAGCTGGCAGTATGGCTCAGTGACACAAGCACCTGCCTGGCAAGTGCAGGTTCCTGAATTTGATTCCTTCTTAGCCAGGTAGAGTGGAACATACCTGTAATACCAGCATTGAGGGGAGGCCATCTCAACAATGCAGAGAGAAAGAATAGAAAAGGAAAGAAAGGAAGGAAGGAAGGAGGGAAGGAAGGAAAAAAGGAAGGAAGGAAGGAAGGAAGGAAGGAAGGAAGGAAGGAAGGAAAGAAGGAAGACTGGGATGTAGCTCAGAGGTAAAGCACCCTTGGGTTTGGTCCCCAGTTCAAAAACAAAAAACAAAAAAACTTCTCTCTATGTCTATTTGACCAGCATCCCCTTTATACCAGGTACCAGAGAAATTCTGACCTGAAGGCTTTGCAAACCAACATACAAATTGAACCTCAGCCTGTTGTAGTCTGGCTGGAGACACCCTAGAGGCAGCCCGTCTGGGTCAGGCTGAGTGGGCTTGCATTTCAAAATGTGATTCCACTTCTCCATGTCAAAAACTAACGTGGCACGAGGACAAAGGAGCACACATCTCCTGCTTTGGGGGGTGGAGTGGACGGCCCAGGCACTCTCCCAGGTGTAGTCTTACAGCTGGCTGAGCCCATGTTTGCAGTGCAATGCTGGCCTCGGGGCTCTGGGTGAAATGGGACCACGGAGACTCAGCCTGTCCACAGCGCTTGAGCTGCTGCCCCAAATGCAATCGTCCATTGAGACCATTTGTGCAAATTCCGTGTTGCTGCAGTGTCCCAGGCTTCCTGAGGTCAGGCCCACGTGTGACTGTGACTTCCCTCTGCTTTTCCCTCTGCCTCTGAGTCTCACTGTGACCTGGCTGTGCTTGTGCAGTGGTGTCTTGGGGGCAAGTGTGCTTAGACCCACGCCTTCCTTTGTCGGCTCCCCTGCCCTCCTCTGCAGTCTCCCAGGGCACGGGAAACGGTACGTTCTAGCGGCTTGCAAGCATCTGGCTTTGCAGGTTACCCATCCTGGATTTAGGCCCCGCTCTGATCCTGACTTCCTGGGAGCCATTTAAAATCCTGAAAAGGCTCATTGTGAAACCGAGCATGAGACTGTTAGCCTGTCTCAGCCAAGACTAAATGCGGCGGTAGCTGGAGAGCGCTCCGTGAGCGCACAGTACAAAGTGCTGACGACACTCGCTGCTACTCCTCTGCTTAGCACAAATCAGGGTTGCTGCGTGGAGCTGTGGAGTTAACGGGGCCTCACTGCTCCTCATTCTCTGCCCCTCCTCGACCTGGCTCATCAGCAAAGGGGAGCAGAGAGCTGGGCTGAGAATGAGGCAACACGATTCTCAGTGCAGTGCCATCCTTCCAGAAGAAGGGCCTGGGAAAATTAATGTGCAGGCCCCCTCCTGAGAGGACAGTCCACTCTTTGCACTTGGCTCCTTGGGAGACTCGGAGGAATTAGTTAAGGGACTCCTACTAGAGCTGGCCAAGGCCAGCGCCATAACTAAAAAAAGAAAAAAAACAAAAACAAAAACAAAAAAACAAAACCAAAAACCAAAAAACTGACAGCCAAAACCAGCCACCAAAGAGGCACTGTGGTTTCTTCACTCGTGCTTTGACTCCTCCGGAGTGAGGCAGGCCTGAGGCTCCCATGCTGAGGAAGGACCAGGCTCCTGCAGCTGGTCCCCAGGAAGCCCGAGGCTGCTGGTGTTCCCCTGGATGGTTCAGGGGCTCTGGTTAGCAGTGCTAGAGCTTTTGCATCAACACCCGAGAGTGCAAGCGACTGAAACTGTCACATCAGTGTGAGTTCAGTGCCTTCCTGGCGAGGCCGTTAGAGAAGGTAAGGAAGAGAAGCAAGATGAAACCCCAGCACCAAACTGCGCCCGCCCTCCCGGCTTCTGCCGCCCATTGCAGCGTGCGCCTTTTCTCTCCTCACCGCTTCCAGCTCTGCGTTTGTAGAGTTCAGAGAGCCACAGGTATCCTGCCCTCCAGTCACAGCTGGACGACAAGAACGACTGTTCTCATTTTGTGGAATGACTGCACTCTGCCTGACCTGCCAGAACTCCTTTTGCTCCTCCACTCCAGGCCTGGCTTGGGCCCCTCCCCCTGCCCCAGAAACACCCCTCCCTCCTGGAAAGAAGGGGTGAATAGAGCTGAATAGGGCTCTCCACAGTCTTGGGACTCAGGGCCCTTAGCAAGCCCCTAGATGAGACAGCCCTAACCCCGCAGGCCCCTCTGCGGCTTTGGGTCCTTCATGTCCGCTCTGGGCTTGTCTCCTCTATTGTGCGTTGGTCTGGATTGAGGCTTGCCAGGAGATGCTATTGTGCATCAACACTGGGTACAATTGACCATGGTAGGTCTTCTCAGGTCATGCACACACCGATCTCCTGCAGCTCCTGTTCAAATGCACAGTTTGGTTTAGTCATTTGGAGTAGGGGCCAAATGCTGCCTTCTGGCTAAACTTCCAGGCTGTCGTTTAAATGTATATGGGAATGCCCATTTCACAGATGGAAAAATCAAGTCCCAGGGGAGTAAAAACACTTGCTTTAAGAAACAGATTGGCAAAGCTCAGGGTTGAGTATAAGTCTTCTGACTGAGGGATTCTGCTGCCCTCTACAAAGCATGTAACCACTAAGAACACAGAATGTGATAATCATGATGATGATTGTGATGATAGAATTATAATCATACTGGATGACAAAAAAAAATTTCTCAAAGCTCCGCATTTTGGGCTGGCCGGATGCTCAGCGGACTAAAGCGCCTGCCTAGGCACGGTGCAGGGACTGGTGTTCAATCCCTGGCACCACAAGCCATGCTGGCCCCACCCCTGGGTGCACTGAGACATCGACTGAGACTGGACTTGGGGGTGCGCACCTGTAATCCCAGCGCTTGGGAGGCTGAAAATAGGAGGATCACTAGAAGTCCAGTCTACGTAGTGAGACCCTGTAGAGCCTGTACTAAATACATTAAAAAAAAAAAGTTCCTCATTTTGTTGCTTTTTGCTGCAAAGTGGTCAGAAAGGGCCCTTGGGCACGTATAACAGCATGTAGTTTGTAATACGTAGGCAACAGTGTGCTTCATTACATAGCATCTGTGTATTATCAATTCTTTTTTATTTTTATTTTTTAAAAATTTTATTTATGTGTGTGTGTGTGTGTGTGGCCAGCTCAGCCCACCAGGGGGCGGGGCTGGCTGGCATGTGGTGCTGGGGGATTGAACCGCGGTCCCTGTGCTTTGCTAAGCTTGTTCTAAGTAGGTGCTTTAGGCCACTGAGCCATCTCAGCAGCCCAATTCTTTTTTATTTTGAGCAGAATATATTTATTGGGGGAAAGAAAGCTCCTGTCCGAGAGGACAGGAGGGCGCCCCGGGTGGGTTGTCTCCTATCAATTCTTTATCATAGCAATGTATGTATCATACGTATATAATTTTAGTTCAGTTTACATTGGGTATTCTCTCTGTATCATGCGCTGTCTTGCATTTTGCTTTTGTTATTACATTCCATCTCCACAGCCACGCTATGCAGTAAATGTTATGGCTTCTTCCGTTTTGAAAAGAAAGATAAGGTTTGCAGGGGTAAAGTAATTGCCCCTCTGCAAAATGGTGGAGAAGGGATTTGAGCACAGGCTCTGTTCACAAGGATGTGTTTAGCTTAAGCTGGCCTGGTCTGCGTGGGGCCTCACCCAGGAGCCGGAAGTCGTTTTCCGCCGCTGAGAACTGCTGCGGCCCAGCTCCCTGGAACAGCTTGCTCCGACGGCTCCTCCCTGGGGCCAGCCCGGCTGTGCAGGCTCGCTGGTCTGTCTGTGCTCCGTTCCTCTGCACACCTGCCTTTCTACCACTGCTGCATGTCTGCTCTGTGTCGCCTGCTCCCTGTCACCCCTGCAGGGCATGCTGTTCCTGCACAGAAGCCCACTGGGGTCCCACGGCAACCTGAAACCTTCCAACTGCCTGGTGGATGGCTTCATGCGAGTGAAGCTGTCCGGATTCGGGCTGTGGGAGTTCAAGTACGGCCGGACACACAGAACACACGACGAAAGGATCGTGGCCCACACGGGTAACTGTTAGAGGACCTTGCGGCCACGAATCATTGGCTGAGCTATCCCAGGGTTTCTCTCTGCGCCTTTGCTTCCTGATGCCTGCTGGTCCAGGTACCCACAGCCAGGCGTGTGCCACCACGCTGCTGTTTTCTCCACGCTCCCTCCCAGGGACCTTGGTCTCCTCCGGTGGGAAGCCCAGGGCTGGCTTCTTAGGACCCGGATGCTCCCTATCTACCTCCACACTCCCAAGAATGTGGCGGGGCTGGGGTTTCCTGTGCTGCTCTTTTTCTCCACGCCGGCTCCCTGATGTCTTGCAGAACTCTACTGGACTGCGCCTGAGCTCTTGCGGCTTCCCGAGGCACCCTGGCGGGGCACCCCGACCGCTGACGTCTTCAGCTTTGGGGTTCTCATGCGGGACCTGATCCACCACCAGCACCGCGGGCCCTTTGAGGACCTGGACAAGGCGCCGGATGGTAAAGGTGTAGGCTGAGCCTGGGGGGCTTTGGTGGGGTGGGCTGGCTTGGAAACACTTGTCCTTCTTGTGTGCTAATTTATAATGCATTCCATTCATATTTTATATAAAAATTATATTAGAAAATGAATTACATGTAGTTAAAAAAAATCCAGGGAAGCAAAATCATACCTGTAACATACTGTACTGCAGTTGCTAGCGTGGTCCTGAGGGAAGGCGTCACTGCTTTGCTCAGAACCTTCCGTGGCTCCCCATCTGGGGAGTTTATACCAAGTCCTGCCATAGCCCAGAAAGCCACCGAGCTGTCTAAGCTCTCAGCCTCAGTGTCCTTCAGTACTGGTTTCCTAGGGCTGCTGTGACAATCACTTTAAACCTGCTGACTCGAAACAGAAGAAATATTCTTTTGTAGTTCTTGAGCCCAAAGTTCAAGATGAAGGTGTTAGCGAAGCCCAGGTTTGGACAGAAGCTCTAGGGAAGAGTCCCTTCTTCTTCGATTCTAGCACACGGTGCCTGTTGCAGCATCCCTGGGCTTGTGGCCACGGGGACCAGTCTCTGTCACCATCTTCAGACTCCCCCTCCTCTGAGTGTTCTCTCCGTGTCTCTTGTAAGGATGTTTGTCGCAGGGTACAGACTGACATGGTTAATCCAAGACAATCTCGGCAAAGACCATTTTTCCAAATAAGGTAACATTGACAGATTGTGAGGGTCAGGACAGGAACTGTTCCTTTGGGGACCACGATTCATCCCACCACACCTCCCACTTCTATCCCAGGCTCACTCCTCCAGGCACACTGCCACCTTTCCCTGCCCTGCAGTGCCAGGTCCATCTATCTGCCCCAGGCCCTTTGAACATCCTCCTCCTCCTTCCTGGATGGCCTTCACCTCATCTTCCTATTTGCAAATCTCTCTCATTCTTTCTTAAGAACTGTAGAAATTTTCCTGGTGAAACTACCCATGCATTAGTCATGGATATGTACTTTCCTTCCCATTTTTTGCTCTGCAAATTACAGTGGTGACCATACAGGGCTGAATGTTTCTTCAGGATAGATGTATAGCCATGAAGTAGAAGTAAAAGCTGTGTTTTAGGTATATTTAAATTTTGAGGGGGCTGGCCAAATAGCTCAGTGGATTAAAGTGCCTGCCAGCAAGCACAAGGGCCGGGGATTTGATCCCCAAGCCTGCAGTGCTGGCCCCACCCCCAGGGCGTGCTGAGACAGCAATTGAGACTGGGCGTGGTAGCGCATGCACCTGTAATCCCAGCTCTTGGGAGGCTGTAAACAGGTGGATCACTACAAGTCTGATCTAGTAGTGAGACCCTGAACACCCTGTAGACCCTTCCCTAAAATACAAAATAAATAAATAAATTTTGTAATAAATGCTGCTCAACTTGTCCTCTGACAAAGAATATAGTCAAGCTTGTTTTACTTTTCTTTTTTTCTTTTTTTTAATTTGCTGTGCTGACTCTTAAATGCCAGTGCCTAGATCTCAGTCCTGGAGATTGGATGTTATTGTCTGGGGAGCTGCTTGGGACACAAGCATCGAGCAAGCTCCCTAGGTGATTTGAATATGCAGGAGTTCAAGTTGGAAACACTGTCTTGCAGAGAGCGTATATGTGCAGGGGCATGGATTTCCAGCGAACCCAGTCCAACCTTCTTTCAGTTTTTCTTGCCCATCTATGCTGGCCTATCCCAAACTTCATCTTTACATTATCATATATTCTCTGAAAATTTTTCAGATCAGGAGTCTGTGGTGCATGCAGTTGTTTTAAAACAGGATTCCGGTTTCTGAATTGTGGTCAAATGGGGCAGAGGTGAGGCTGATCTGAGCAAAGGCAACTCGAGATCCAGATGTAGCTGGCTTTGTATCCACACCAATGGCAGTGCTCCCAGGCTGAGCTCAGGCAGGTCACCTGCACCCCTGGGCCCGGCTCCCACCTGGCCGCATTGCTGTGGGTCTGAGTTGGCGTCAGAAGTCTGTGGACAATGAGTATCCTGTATTCCTCCTTACTGCAGTCCTCAGAAAAGTGAAGGAGAAATGGTCCCGGGGCCTGGACTGTGTATACACAACATGGCGAGCAGGAAAAATACAGCGTGTCCTTCCCCTAGGGGCAAGCACAGGTCTTTTGTGAGCTCCCCACACTTCCCTACAAACAAACCTGGTGCCAGGAACTGTGTAAATATTAGTCCTCTGTGTGCTGAGGGAGAGTGCTTCTCAGATTGGGCGTCATAGTCACCTGCAGGCCTGCTAGCACTGGAGCTGCTGGCTCCGCCCTCCGGGTTCTCGCTGGGTACTGAGCCTGCAGAGGCCAAGCATGCGCATTTCCATGTGATTCCTGGGTGGGTCACAGTCTGAGAACCACCAGCCTTGGCCCTTGTCCTTGGTGTGGCCTGGAACTTGTCAGAGATATGCATTTGCAGACCCCACTCTGAACCTGGTTCTCTGGAGATGTGGGGGATCGAGAATGCTGTCTTAGATGGTGCCCCTGCATCCCATGAGTCCATTGCCACAAAAAAGAACAACTACACTGAAGGGTTAAAGATTACAGGTTAGAAGCATTAGCCGCATAGCGCTGGGTAAGGCACGCACAGCTCCAGCGTGCAGACCTCCAGAGGTCCCCATCATTTTATTGACTCTCAGGGAGTTTTGGGGGCGGGGCAGAGCTCCTGGGCTGAGCCTTGTGCCACTCCCCTTGAAGCCACGACTGAGCCTTATCTTGAGTTGTGCTGCATGTAGGATGCAGTGCACACTTGCCCAGATGGATTCTTTTAGGGTATCTTTAAGGCATTAAAATGTGGATATTAGCAAGAGAATATTTTACACACATTTCGTAACCTGTATCCTTAAATATATTAGCTGAAGTTCATGTCTCAACATCCATGCAGGGCAGCATGTCTGGGAAAATTTCTCAGACCTTTTTATAATGACCTTGTCGTTCTAGAATAGGTTTTTGTGTCAGATATTTTGTAGAATATCCTTCTCAATGGTCCTTTTCCCCCTTTTCTCATGCCTAGACTGGGGTTAGGAGTGTGTGGGAGGAAGATTCTGGAAGTAAATTGTATCACCCTCAAGGCAGGTACTGTCCGTGACTGTCATAGTTGATGTCTTCATTGCCTGCCTCAGGTAGCGCTTGTGGCTTCTCTACTGCAAAGTCGTTCTTGACCTTCCCCTGCTGTACTGACTGTAGGGGACACTCAGTGTGGGAAGCCACATTAAAATTTGTTTTTTTTTTTAGTTTATTCGGACATGTGTGTAGCACATGTTTACCTTCTTTGTGGAACTGGAGTAGGTACATAATACATCTTGATTCCTTTTCTCGTTCTGTTTCATTTCCCTCCCTTCCCCTCTACCCATTCATTCCTTAATCTGTGTGTGTGTGTGTGTGTGTGTGTGTGTGTGTGCATGCACACATGTTTGCAGTGCACAATGCTCACAATCCTTGTGTAGCGTTGGCACATGCACCTGACACATCCTAATTCTTCCCCCGATCTCTTCCTCCCTCCCTGCATCTCTTCTCCCCTTCCCTCTGGAAGGGTCTGTCTCCTACTTCCTACTCTCTTTTATTTTTACTCTGAGTCTCCCATATCAGAGGAGCCAGGCAGCATTTGAGCCTGTGCGTCTGGCTTCCCGCCCTCCCCCTCAGGCCTCACAGTGCGTCCGTCCATGCCTACAGATGAGTAGGGCTTATCTTTTTTCATGGCAGAGTAGAACTCAGTGAGGTGTAAATGCCAATTTTCCTTCCTCATTCATCTGCTGACAGACATATGGGCTGCAAGGTCCACATCTGATGGGAAGGAAGCGCCTTCCCTCCTCGAGGGAAAATCACCTTCAGAAATCCAGAATTCAGCTCTGGGCAGATTGGTCTACTCTGCTACATTTCTCTATTTTCTTGGCTATTTCTGCTGTCAGTGTGGGTTCATGTATGCTTATTTTGTACTCAGGTTATAATCTACTGTTACTTTCTCTGATTCGTTGCTCACGTTGTTCCACCCTTGGCTATTCAAACTTTAGCTGGTGTCTGCGCCTCTCCGACACACAACCATCGCTGTGGTGTTTGGAGCACTTTCTTAGCATAACAAAGTGCTCCAGGTTTAACTTGGGACCCTCCATCCCAGTGCTAGAAGCAGCCAATTCTTCAAAAAGCCTTGCCATATTTGTTAGGGAATCATGCTAGCAAATGAGACCTAGACTGAGGTGTGTGTGTTGCTGCTGGGGTGTAGTTGCTGGTATGTGCTCCCATGTGTACGGTCCTGTGTGTGTACACACATTTATAATTACACACATACATACCTGTACCTAGATAAAGCCAAACAGAGCTTGCGCTGACCTTCCTAACTGTGGTTCAGCACCACGCCCTCTCCACCGGGAAGGGTGCAGGCTCCCGCCACCTGCCACCTATTTCCTTATTTGTCCAATCACAGTTTGCATCTGTAGTGGTTCTGCTCTTGTTAGCCCGAGCCCCCACCGGAAGTGATTAGACACAGCGCTTGTGAGCCATCCCTCTGGTCCTTCACCATCCTGCCTTATGTTGGAGGCTACGTAGGTCAGCCCCTCTCCACCAGCCCCCTCTGGTGAGCTCCCATCTCGCATTTGCAGCGCAGTTACAACCCCACTTGTGTGCTGTCTTTAGGTCTTCTACTCCTGACCAGTATTGTTTTTTTTTAATTTTGCCTCCCTTGAGGTCCACCTTGTGCTGGAAAGTTTTATGGGGCTGGGCAGTGGCAAAGCGCCAGGTGACCACTGGAACAGTGGTATATGGAGGTTTCCTCGGTGCCAAGCAGTCCCCGATCTTCACCTGTTCAATCTCCTGTCCTCCCCATCACGTGGCTACCCAAGATTTGTTTGTTTTTTTAAAATATTTTTTATTCAGAAATAAATATGAATGAGACAGTTTCACAGCTGATTAATAGGACAGTTTTGATAATCAATACATTTTTGTACATTGTTATCTTCTTTTTTTTTTTTTTTTTTTTGAAGGTTTTACAGTTTATTAAATCCTCTCGTGAACAAAGTCGCAGTCACTGCAGACACGCACTGCAGAATCTACTCCTTCGGCTGTTCTCCAATCTCCAGCTCACTGCCACTTCATTTCTTTTTGCCAGCACCAACGTTAGCCTTTGCGGTGCCCCTGACTTTCTTCATTCTGTTCTTGCGTTCCTTCCGCTGCTTTCTTGAGGTCTTTTTCTTCTCATACAGGCCGTGTCTTGCAAGTCTGTGTTTGGGCTCATTTTTCTTCGCATAATCCAGGGAGTCATAAATCATGCCAAAGCCAGTCGTCTTGCCACCACCAAAATGGGTTCTGAATCCAAACACAAAAATGACATCTGGTGTGGTCTTGTACATCTTGGCGAGTTTTTCCCGAATTTCTGTCTTAGGTACTGTTGCTTTCCCAGGGTGAAGGACATCAATGACCATTTGTTTCCTTTGAAGAAGCCGGTTGGTCATGAATTTCCGGGTTCGGATAGTTACTGTTTCATTCATGATGGCAACGGAGCCTCAGACAGCCGGGGAGGAAAAGCCATTGTTATCTTCTTAGTGGTTATCCATAGTACAAGAAGCAGACAGGATATTCTGTCCAAACACTGTTAGTATTGTTTAGTTGAATTCAAACACGTATAGTATTTAGATGCTAATAGAATATTCATCTCTGACAGACAATAAAAAAAATGATACAAAGGAATGATCATTTTGTATTTATATATACAAAATAGGATCAATTTACAGCTACTTTTGCTTAATTCAAAGAGAAGAAAAAGGTGTACTAACAAGATTTGTTTATTGTGTCTAATTTTGCCCTTTCTAGACTGCTTAAACAGAACAGTACAGGGCAGAGCCTTTCCATCTTGGCTTTTTTTTCCTCTTAGTAAGATTCATTAGTGTTGCAACTGCAGTACTTTTATACCAAATATGTGTACTTTATTCTCAAAATATTCAACATGTCTGGTTAAATAGAATGCTTAGTAAATATTGGTAGAAGCCAAAGAGGAAGTAAGAGAAAGCAGGTTTACAAGTGTGGGGTAAGGAGGTGATATGTGGCAGTTATATTTATTATTGGTGAAAATTATTTTATGTAGGGTATTGTATGGAATGCAAAATTGCATGAAGTATTTTTTTGTTGATTGCCAACACCAAATACATGTCCTTCCCTAAACTCATGTGGAGGTTTGATTGCCTTCCAAAAAAGTTCTATTTAAAAAAAAATCTTGACTTATGAACTGATTAATTAAGGGGTGCACATATGTTTTCTATTAGGACCCGTCATTTCCCACAAGGATTCAGAATATCATTAAATTACTCAGATTCCTCTGAAATTCTAAATATTTCACTTATTTGAAGTTCAGTTTACAAATCTAAGAGCACAATTCATGTTTAAAGGGAGGCATGCCAGGTGATGAGGTCCAGACCTTCGATTACCTCACCCCCGAATACCTTTCAGAAATCATCAAGCAAATCAGAGAGCCCACAGCTGCTGGGCCTCTGCGGCCTTCCCTGAGCGAGGAGCGGGGCGACGCAAGGATCACTGGCCTGGTGAGGGCCTGCTGGGCTGAGTCGCCAGACCGCAGGCCCACCTTCCTTTCCATCAAGAAAGTTCTACGAGAAGCCAGTCCCAAAGGGTGAGTTAGATGGGCAAAGGGTGATTTCTCCTAGTCATTTGGCCACTAGAGTTCTACAACTCATGCTGTGATCGTTCTTTGTGTCCCCTCCTTCACCCTTGCTATCCCACCTCCCTCCCTCCCTTCCTCTTTTGAGCTTATCGTTTTTATAGCTGAGTAATATTCCATTGTATAAAAATACCACAGCTTTTTAAATCTGTTCCCCATCAACCAATAACAAATGCTGGAGGGGCTGTGGGGAAAAAGAGACCCTTCTCCACTGTTGGTGGGAGTGCAGCCTGGTACAATCACTGTGGAAATCAGTGTGGATTCCTCACAAAGCTAGGATTGGAGGTCCTTTTTAACTCAGCTAGTCCCCTTGTGGGTATTTTTCTAGAATAACCAAAAACATGATACCACAGTGACATATGTGCACCTGTGTTTATAGTGGTGCAATTTGTCATAGCTCAGAATCTTTTTCAAATCAGCACTTCAAGGGTCAAAAATGTATCAGTTGGAATTGGACTATGGAATAAAGGCTACTCACCAACCTTAGTGTTTTCCCCCCAAATTCTTTATTTTATTTATTTGTGTGTGTGTGTGTGTGTGTGTGTGTGTGTGTGATGTGGGAGATCAAACTCACGGCCTCTACCACTGAGCTACGTCCCAAGGTAAGTTACTGACCGTAGACTGTGGGCGCCTCTCACGTCCTTTTCCCAGTGGCAGATTTCTGATGTCAGGATTATGGCGTCACTGAGACACTGCATGGGTGAAGATACCCCGTGGTAGAAGTAGCTTGAGTTGGTGGAAGGAGCTTGCGGCTGCCAGCCGGATGTTTGCTTCTAATCTGGCCATTTAACTCTGTGAATATCAGCCCTGGATTTTCCAAATTACAGAAGTTTTAAAATTTCTTGTTTCTATATTTTTTAACTGAATTGAAAATCGTTTAATTTTTTGATATATAATTTGATGTTTTGATATGTGCCTAATTTATGGAGTGATTAAATAAATTTAACTAGTGGAGTGTTTACTTTTTACTCAGGGACTGTAGTTCCAAAATTAAGATTTCTTATTTGAGTTTTAGTCTCCTCACCTAAAAGATAAGGAATTTAAATGATTTTTCTGAAAGCTATTCTTTTTTTTTTTTTTTTTTTTTGTGGAACCGGGGATTGAACTCAGGCCCTTGTGCTTGCCAGGGAAGCACTTATTCTACTGAGCCATCTCCCCAACCCTTGTTTTTTTGTCTTTTTGAGACCGGGTCCCGTACGCAGTTCAGGCTGGCCTTGAGGTCACTTTGTAGCCCACGCTGGCCTTGAAGTCACAGCAATCATCCTGCCTCAGCCTCCTGAGTGCTGGGATTACAGGAGACCTGGAGAACCTCTGAAAGAAGAACCTATAGGCTCTGGATGTGACCCTTATGTTGGACAATCTAAGAAGCAGGATCCACGCTGCATCTGCGTTTGGTGTGGAATGTGGTAGGGCGTGGGGAAGCGTCCTAAAGGCCACCACTCATGGCTGCCCGCTGGGTCCCAGCCCCGGGCCCCTGCCCTCCGCGCACACCAGCTGCTGACGTTTTCAGAACAACCCTGGCACATGTGCATTCTCACCCTTACTTTCCAAACGAGTAGGCGAAGGCTCAGTGCGACGAAGGTGCAGCCCAAGCTCTGGAAGGGTGTCTGGGCAGCGCGGAGGCAGGACCTCAGCGGGCGAGAGGCGTGCGCTCGGATGCGCGGCTGGGAGCCGGCCCTGCGGTGGTCCTGCGGTTCCTGCGAGAAGGCGCTCAGGGCTGGGTTCTTTCAAAGCCAGGTGAACATCCTCGATAGTCTGATGAGCAAGCTGGAAGCGTACGCCAGCCACCTGGAGGAAGTGGTGGAAGAGAGGACCGGCCAGCTGATGGCAGAGAAGAGGAAGGTGGAGAAGCTTCTATCCACCATGTTGCCCAGGTAGCGCAGGCGTTGGGCGGTTGGACAGAGTTAACTCACGGGGCTCCTTGTGAAGAAGCTGCCTGCAGAGGAATTTCTTTTTCTAAGAAAATGTCAGGTTCTTCTAAATGAGGCCCGGCTTTGTGGGTAATTTGGTAACCCTTTAAGGGAGCAGAGGGACACCCCCCACCCCCACCCCATGGAAGCCGCCGAGTGAAGCACCGAGGAGGGCCACTAGAGGGCGCGCTAGCTGCACGCCTGGCTACGGAGGACCGCAGTCATAAAACCTTCGCAAAGCGCAGGGCGTTCCTTACCCGAATCCCAGATTTAAAAATTGCTACAGTTTTGGTTCATTTTCATCAGCTTACTCCCTCAGCATTCTGTAGAAGCTTTTGATACTCAAATTCCTGTGCGTTTCTGTGTCTTGACCAAGGAAACGGAGGCAGGCGCTTGAATTTGTTAATAAAGTCAGATTATTTGATTGCAGTGAAAACATTGATATCTGGATTGGGAACTGATTACATTCACATCTGCAGACCAAGAGTTTACAGTCAAACTCTGCAACCGATCTGATGTGGGAAAGGAGATGCCTTCAGCAAGAAAATCTCTTTCCTGAAGGCATTGGCGTGACTGCCTCAGTGTACAGCCAGCAGCGATCAAAATGCCTCCTCTGAGGGCATTCTGGCAGAGTGGGCCGCGGCTGTGCATATATGTGACAAATGAAATCCTATTAAAAATGATCGTTCTCCAACGTCCTGAGTTCGATTCCCAGTACCCCCAAAATATACTAATAGTTTCTCTAAAAAGCAAAACCAGGGCTGGCTAGAGAGCTCAGCAGACTAGGTGCCTGCTTAGGCAAGAGCAAGGACTGGGGTTGGATCCTGAGCACCACATGCTGTGCTGGGCTCACCCTCAGGCACACTGAGCTGGCCACTGAGTCTGGGCAGGATGTGCACGCCTCTAACCCCAGCGCGGGGGAGGCTGAAAACAGGAAGATCATTACGAGTCCAAGCTGCATAGTGAGACCCTGTACAAAAAAAAAAAAGTAAAACAAAAAACCCCCAAATGATCTTTTCTCCGGTTTCAGCTTCATCGGAGAACAACTTGTTGCAGGAAAGTCTGTGGAACCCGAACATTTTGAGTCCGTGACGGTCTTTTTCTCTGACATTGTTGGGTTCACAAAGCTGTGCTCCCTCAGCTCCCCGCTGCAGGTGGTGAAGCTCCTGAACGACCTGTACAGCTTGTTTGATCGCATCATTCAGACCTATGATGTGTACAAGGTGAGACCCCGGCTCTGCAGGGACACCTGCTCCTTGCTAGTTGTGCCCGGCATGTTGGCCTCCATTTCCTTCCATTATTTTCTTTTTTTCTATATTTATTACAGGGCCTACAGGTCTCACTACGTAGATCAGACTTGTAGTGATTCTCCTGTTTTCAGCCTCCAAACACTGGGATTACAGGCGCGCACCACCACGCCAAGCCTCAATCACCATCTCAGTGTGCCCTGTGGGTGGGGCCAGCACAGCACACCAGGGATCGAGCCCTGGCCGCTGCACTCTGCCTAAGCAGGAGCTTTAGTTCGTTGAGCTATCAGGCCAACCCTTCTTTCCGTTATTTTAATCTTATAGTAAATACTTTTCAGGAGAGGGGTAATACTTGGGGGTTGTATCTAGAGTCTGCGCTGAGCTACATGCCCAACTGTTCTTATTTTTCTTTTGAAGCAGGATCTTGCTAAGTTGCTAAATGGAATAGCCCGGACTTAGACATTTGATCCTCCTGCTTCAGCCTCCTGGAGCGCTAGATTGCAGGCAGAAACTGCCACGTCCTGCTAGTAAACACATTTTAAAAGTGGCATTGACCTTCCGGCAGCTAATCTTTCGCTTTCTCTCCAAATCCCTAAGACGAATGCAGGCGCCATACTGCAAATGTGGGCTAATAAAAATTTAGAAAATCAGGCTTAGATTGGGCGGTAGTGCTGAGGACAGTTTTACGCATTTTCTGACAGTTTGAACAGGTCTCAGGGACAGTGACATGTGTCTGTTCACGGATGTGGGGGAAAGCTGCTGGTGCAGCTGCCTGGCTGTGACGTCAGGATTCTGCCTCTGCCCACTGTCCTGGGACAGCAAGATTTGGGGGACAGTGTGGCCATAATGTTCAGTGGCAGGTCCTGGTGTGTTCCCTGATGTTCCCCACAAAGGATGCGTGTGTTCAAGGTGAACGAAAGGACATGCAGTTCTTTCTAAAGAGCAGATCCCCTCCCTACCTGGCCTGCTTGGGTCAGCATCCCGTGGGGTTTTCCTGAGTTACCTTCTCAGCGATGCTAGCATTAGAACTGGCTTGTGTTTCTCAAGAATGCTGTCCTGCTGGGGAGAGGCAGCCTGGACACAGGCTGGGCCAGTGGGCTAGTTGACTTTTTTGTAATGTGGGGGTCAGCGGGACAGAAGTGTTCCAACTGGCTGGCTCATGCTTGAAGATCCTTTCTCCTGTGATCTTTAGATTCTGCTAATATAATTGTATCTGGAAAGGGCTGAAGCTTCTAATTATGATTTATTTTTCTATTGTGAATGAAGAACCTGGAAACTATCTTTAGAAGGATCGAGGGCGAAGAAGACAGATAAAAGAGACACATGTGTTTCTATTCATCTAACTAAATATATTTTGTGAGGTGCATCATATGTATGTATCCATGAACACGTGTAAAAGCCCTGGTGCAGGGTGAGGACCCTCCAGGTTGGGCAGGATGCAGCCCCTTGATGGGCCCACCTGGCCCTTGGAGATGTGCCCCGACAGCTCACTGCTGCCTAACTGGCTCTGGACTTGGCCAGGAAATGTGGTCACCTCCAGAGATGGGGTTGGGGGTTAGGCTGTGGCTCTGAGTACAACAGCAAGCACAAACACTGAAATGACACCCAGATTTGGAGACAGAGTTATTTACCTCGACAGACACTGATCGGGCCCACTCCCACAATATCACGCACTGATCTCTGGTGATTCTGGGCTTTCGTGGGATATACAAGCAGGAAGTACAGAGGCAGAGTGGCTTGTCAGTTGGGGGTTGGCTTACACAATGTGCATGCCAGCGACCAGCTGTTTCTAAGAGACAGAAGCCACTGGATCTGGGACAGGAACTGTTACCTCAGCAACTACCAAACTGAACTATTTCGGTGGGTGGGGGTGGGCATTGCTGATACACGAGGAGCAGGGCTCAGGGAAAGAAGACCTCACTGGGGAAGTGGAATGACGATATGCTGGGACATGGGTGGGGCAGCGGTCCACAAGTGGGAATCTTCAAATATGGTGCCTTGAAGCAGAGGTAGACATAAGAAGCTTTGACCTGTGGCGCCATCTCTACCCTCTACCCACTGCCTCCCTCATGGAAAGCAAATTTCCTTGCTTTATTTTTAGGTTGAAACCATTGGAGATGCTTACATGGTGGCAAGTGGGCTTCCCATCCGCAATGGCACCCAGCACGTGGACCAGATCGCCACCATGTCCCTGCATTTCCTCAGTGCCACCGTCCACTTCCAGATTGGGCACATGCCTGAGGAGAAGCTCAGGCTCCGGATTGGCCTCCACACAGGTAGTCAGGACTGATGGTGGGTGACCTTAGGGCCCAGGTGTAGGGGCAGGTCTCTGTGGGCTGGAGACCCAGGTCTAAGGTTTTTAGGAACAGTCCTGAAGGGTAAGGGGGTCAAGGGGACCAAAGGATCAGGTTGTCTTTGCATGAGTGTTTCTGGTCAGGTGGGTTGCTTGGTAGGAATAAGGACATGCAGGACTCTAAGATGTGGAACCAAAAATAAAGAGGAAGAACAGACACCAGGGTGGTGCTGGGCTACTGTCCTCCCCACGTCTGGATCAAGCGCCCTTTCATGTGTTCTATCTTTGACAGTCTTGGGTATGTGATCGATGCAGAAGTGACTCCTACTTGGTTTAATACTTTTCTGTCACTGTTTTGAAATTCTTAATTCTTTCTGAATAGAGTCCCATATTTGCCCTGGGCCCTGCAAATTATGTCGCTATTATCCTATTCAAAATTATCTTTCAAGTCTCACTGAAATAGAATCTGACCTCCAATCAGAATTAATTATTTCCACGACTGTACCACTGTAGGCTTTGTGCCTATCTCTAGTTCAGGAATAAACACGGTCATTAATTGGTTTTGCTGCTCTGCACCAGGAATGTGTGGGTCTGTAGCTTGCTTCTTTGTAAACTAAGTCATATGGGCAAGCTGTGCCCCAAGAGGGGCCTTAGCAAATACTCCTTGACTTGCCTTCGTTGACTTGATGGGTTTCCTGGAGCCAGGTTGTGCCCTGGGGTTCTTGTGTCCTCAGGTCCTGTGGTGGCCGGCGTGGTGGGAATCACCATGCCCAGGTACTGTCTGTTTGGTGACACCGTGAACGTGGCATCCAGGATGGAAAGCAGCAGCTTGCGTGGGTATTGTTTACAGCACTCCGTAAACCCAATAGGTTGTCCCGCCAGGCCCCTATCTTTGACCAGATGGTATTTTTAGAAGACTCATTTGCATTTTTCTCTTGTTTTCCATCTGGGCGATAAGATCATGATTCATTGCAGATAACACCGATCACAGGGCGGATAGACAGGATTTGGTGGTGTGCTCATTAGAGTAATTAAGGTACTCACGTATACCTCCCCCAAGTCTAAATATGCACACACGTCAGAGAATTATTTATCTATTTATTGGATACAGGGTCTCACTATGCAATTTAGACTTGTAGTGATCATCCTGTCTCAGCCTCCCTACCACTGGGATTATAGGCTTGCGCCACCACGCCCGGTTTCAGGGCTGGCACAGCATGCGGTACTGGAGATCAAACCTGGGTCCTTGTGCTTGCCAGGCAAGCGCTTAGACTGCCGAGCTATCTCCCCAGCCTGTATAAAATAATTTAAACCAAGAGCAAGAGTGGAAGAACTTTACCTGAACGGGGACAGACAACACTGTTGGCTTTATGGGCCACAGAGCCTACTGCAATTTTATTTATTTATTTTGCGTAACTGGAGATTGAACTCAGGAACCTGCACTTGCCAGGCAAGTGCTTGCAATTATTTAATTCTGTTGTAATGGCTTAAAAATTTGCACAGGCATATCCCAATAAACCCTTACTTACAAACACAAGCAGTGGAGTATACTACTTCTCCTATCCCTGTTGCATGGTCTATTTTGGGGGTTAGAAAAGAGCTCTATGACCAGTAACTCCAACAAACATTGCGATCTTGGGCTGTGTAGGAACTTTATCACCTTGACTGTTGCTAGACACGTACATACTGTTTATCCATTCTGACATGAAGAAAAGAATTGCTCAATAATTAAATCTGAAAGAGTTTAAGTTAACATTTCTTTGAATGTATATACTTCCCACAAGGTATAAAAATGGCCAGATAATTTCTCCTCTGATTGTTGTTGGTCTAAGTCAATCCACTGTCTCAAACAGACTTAAACTTTCTCTTATAAGGATGTGTTCTCAGAACAAATTAAAAGATGGTTGCTTATGTGGGCTCCCAACCTGACCCTAGTTGTATTTCTTGCTGCAAAGAACACTTCCAGTAAAGTGCGCCAGCTTAGCCAGGAAGCCTGGGGAGCCCGGGGAGCACCCATCCGGGGGCTTGCCAACTTGGATACCGAGCCAGTGCTGCCTTCTGCTTGGAAACTGGACATGTAGAGTTTGAGCAGACCCAGCCATACCTGGATGGCATCCCAGGGTTCAGCCATTGCTTTGTTGAGTGAGAAGTCCTGGGGAATCAAAGGATATCAATAGGTAGCTTCCTCTCCCGAAGCAGCCCCCTCCACCGACAGCTCAAGGACGATGGGATAACCAGGCAATGATGGGTTTATGGCAGCTCTTCGGATCCATGTCTCTCAAAGCACCGCAGGTGCCCTGCTGGCCACCGGAAGGTACCATCTGCAAAAGAGAGGCACCATTCCACTCAAGGTAAGATGGGGCCACTGCACCCCACCTGCCTCTTGCATGCCTCGTGGAGCTGTGGAAGGATTTGGTAGGATGAATGAGTGTCATTGTAGTGGTGCACGAAGCCCCCGCTAGCTATCTCTGGATGTGCTGCCTGTCGGGCCCTTTCCTTCCAAGAAGCAGTCCCTTCAGAGGCTCACATGTGGACAGGCCCATAGGAAATGCCCGGACAGACCCCTTATGAGACGCGTCCTGTCTCTGCTATCAGTAGTCTCGCAGCTTCCACTTGGACTCTTGTCTGCCACACAGAGTAGTGAGATTTAGTGCCCACCTTCCTGTGTCCCTTCACCTGAGTGTAAAGTGCCTGGTAGAAGGGACGAAAGTCCATTGGCTTGGCCTGGGATACCAGTAGTCTCTCTCATTTCTGTCCATCCCGTTGCTTCCACCTCCTCCTTCACCCCACAAGGCTCCACAATGCACTCTGATCATTCCCTTGGGGTTGTCCCTTCCTGGACAGGAGCACCTGCCTTCCAGAGGTTCTCAAGGACACCTTGGGATGTGCACATGGGGACAGCTGGTGGTCGCTATGGTGCTGAGGCTTGCCTGCAAGGAGACGTGGAAGGGAATGGAGTGCATAGCTTCTTGGCTTGCTGGGTTGGCCTTGGCACTCTGGATCCTGTTCCCCAAATTCAGGTGGGAAGATGGTCATGGAGGAGGCAGCAGTGTAGACCTGGCCCTGGGCTCCTTCCTGCCCCACTGCTCTGTAGCTGTGTAGCAGTGGAACCTGGTTTTGTGGTCTGTACCACGGAAATGACGATAATGCTGGCAGTAAGGATCAGATGTCAGTGGGTATGGGGAGCGCTCAGCAGATGTTATTACTATTCCTTTTTTTCTTTTCTTTACAACTCCCTGGTTTTAGTCTCCACTGGCCTTCCCTCCAGGGCATGCCTTACTGGCCACCTGGACTTGCCAGCAAAGCCCGAGAGAATTATCAGGACTCTGCTGGCGAGGAGGCCTTTCCCTAGAGGAGCAGCTCCTGCTGCCGCAGCTAGCTAGGCCAGCCGGCTTCCTGGGCAGCTCCTGTGGATTCTCCAGCTGCTCTTCGCCTCCCACAGGGCAAAGGAGAACAAACAACTTTCTGGCTGAAGGGCAAGGAGGGCCTCACAATTCCACTCCCCGAGTTTACTGAGGAAGAAGCTGAAGTCCCGAGGGCTTGTGAGGTGGGTATTTTCTTTCAAGCCTGTGGGTTCTGCCTCTGGGATCCAGCCCAGGCCCACTGGAGGTGGAGCTCTGAGGGGCGTCAGTCTCCCACTAGAGGGTGCCTTCCAGCTGCCTCCTCATCTACCCCAGCCTTTCGGCCAGCTCTGCCTCCAGGGGTGTGGCCTTAGATGAGGCTAGGGGAAAGGGGGTGAATGGGTGGGGTGTGTGTACTGCGAACTCTGCTGTGAACTCACTGGAGACGGCTCAGTGAGTCTGCCCCAGCTGCTGGAAATTTCCAGCCATTTACCTTGTGAATTTATGGTGAACTCAGCTCATCTGGGCAAAGGGACAGGAGAAGCCACAGGCCGTCTTGCTTCTCCCTGTAGCACTCTGCTCCCTGACCTGAGTGCTTGCTTCCCTTGTGAGAAAATCAGCTTGCAGGGGAACAGGCAGCCAGAGCTCAAGGCGTCTCAGGAGGTGCTCAGGAGAAACGCCCAGGGGGGTGAGCAGTCCCAGCGAGAGAGGCCTGCTGCAGGAAGACAGGCCTCTGCGGCGGTAGGAAGCCTGAACCCAAGCCCTGCCTTCCTGTGAGCAGCCTCAGTGGATAATGTTCCGGATGATGTTTATGGCCTAATTTCTTTCCTGCACCCTGAGCAAAGACTTGAGCAGTCAAAGCTTGAGTTTTAAGAGGAATTTTTCATTCTTTTATGAAGCATTTAATTTTAAAAATTCCCAATGGACAGAGAAGAGCCCATCCATTCCTCTGATTTTTCCTTCTATACAAAGACTAGGGTTCCACGTTGCTTTATTCAGTAGCTCTTTTAACAGATTTACTGACCCGCTGATGCGCTTACGGTACTTCTTTCTTCTTCCGTGCTGCTCCGCGTATCGCGATAGCTTCCGCGTGGCTGCTCCTGTGTGCGGCAAGGCCTTCGCCATGCAGTCTTTTGTGGCTGAGCCTCCCAGGACTGAAGGCGCGGGCACCAGTGAGACCAGTTAGCCTTTCTTTCCTTCTGACCTCTGATCTGCCTTTGTGCAGATATTTTTGAGTTCTGTATTAGAAAATGAACTACCATTTGGTTTATTGAGGGACTTTGATGCCAAATTTTAACAAAAGGTATGGGCGAGTCTTGCGTTTCTTCAGGAAGTGGGCCAAGAACAGCATTTATATCGAGGGCCCAACGCCTCCATCTGCAGTATCTTGTTTCTTAGCATCATGAGTGAATTCTATAGCCCTCATAGACTTTGTTTCTTGAGTACAATACATTGTGGTAGGCTCTGCCCCTCCCCACGGGCCCTCAGCGCCAAGGACGGCCAGCTTTAGGCCTATCCGTACAAGGAGGGAAGGCAGCAGGCATTTATAGGAGGGCTACACAGCTTTCCTGCTTCTACTTCAGCATGGGGAGGGACAATGGGCCTGAGTTTATCTTTCCATTTTCTATACCTTCTACTGTTGTGCAGGGTCCTGGCTTCGGGACCCCAAATAATTTGGTCAGCTATAAAAGAGCACAAGTCTCCTTCTGCTCTGAGGCCTCCTAAAGAGACAGTCCTGTCCCCATCCACCCATCTACCCCTCCATGCTTTCACCCAGACATACCAGTAATTCAAGAAATATTTATTAAGGGTTTATTCTGTGCTGGCTACCACACTGCGGGGCGCAAGAGTGTGTTGCACTTCACCTCACAGTTTAGTTGAGAAAGGATGCGGCAGTAAGGCAGCATTAGGGATAGAGCTATGAACAAAAGTGAAGTAACCAAGCGGTCCAGTAGTGTTACGTGACAAGCACATTAGAAAATAATACACAGATACAGAGATGGAGCTGGATAAGTAATTATCTGTTATTATGTCATCTTTATATTATGTTAAAGATAATGTGTTTCTTTCCAACCCTAGCCCACATGCTTACATAAGTGGTGTTCATATAATAAATATTTTATTAATTGTCTTCTTCATTGAATATTGTAACATAAATGCATTGAATATTGTGACATAAATACCTATGCACATATGTATACAATGTTACTTGTGTATATGTATATATGTGTGAATGCATACATTTATAACAGTGGCCACACGTGGTGGGGCGATGCCAGAGAGACAGAGTATTAGGGATAGAGACCAGGAATTTTGGTAAGCTCAGTTTCCTAAAATTCACTGCCAGTGTTTTTTCTGTGTAAACCACGGATACCTAATGGAGAAGGTATGCATATGTTTCCTACTCCTCTTAATGTCTGTCTTATTTTTAGCACTAAGAAGATTTTACGAGAGATTACTTTGAAGGCGCTTTCTTTTAATCCCTCAATAAAAAGTTATAAGACAGGAAAGGCTACCAAACACTGTGGAGGTTTTAGTTACCTTAAGCCAAAACATGTCCAGTTGCTGGCAGGGACTTTAGGGTCATATAGACAGGAGATCTCCCTCTTCAAAATCATAGTCATACAGAATGGCTTTTCACCCTTCTGTAGCGTATTTGAGTGGAAGTGTAGGTGGAAAGAACCAAAAATCTGCAGTATATGTGTGAGTCTAGGAACATTGGCTGGAGAAGCACCTGGAAGGGTGGAAGACTTGAACTTTCCCATGAATTATTAACACTGTAAACTGTAGTGAGTGGTTATCTATTTTAAACCATTTTATTTATCCCACTGTACCAGGTGGAGATACATGACCATAAAATATAATGATAAAATAAAACCAAACTAATACAACATTGTTTTAATCTGATAATCAAAGACAAATCTGGCTATAAAAAAAACTGTTGAAGAGTTTTAGACTAGAACCAATACCATACATCTTCTGTCTTTCTTAACTACAAAAAATAAAATAAAATAAATCTGAGTTTCAGAAGAGTTTTCAAGTGAGTAGAGTAATAGCTTGCAGGCCTAGTGTAGATGGACTGAGTTGTTCCATGCTGGCCTATGGCTAATCGTGGCCTCATGTCTCCGGAGATGTGATAACTAGTTGGGTTTCTGACTTCACTAACACAAGTTGTAAAGAACTACCACACTGAAGATGTCAAAAGTTCTCAAACACATTAATTATAGAGAGATAAACTAACATTTAACTTCAAGTTATGAGCCCACTAATTGAGTCTTTTTAAAAATTTTTTTATTAGGTCTTTACATGCCTGAGAGTAGAGCTCGGGCTTATCCTACCGCACTATCCAACTCTCCACCACGGTTGGTGCATTCAGCTTTTATTCGGCTGACAGATGTAAATTACTGATGTTGTCTGGGTCACTGAGGTGTCCCTATTCTGAAGGTATGCCACCAAGTGATTTCACGGGCTGCATTTGCCTTTGTCTTTCTGATAGTCTTTGTTGGTTCCATTCTAAATATTTAGTTAAAGGTGAACTGAGATCAGATCACTCATTCCAAAAAAGATCTCTTAGTAGAGCAAATAGGGGAAATTGTGAGGGTTTTAAGTGTCACAGGCAAATAGTAGGATCGTGTCACCAAGCTCAGACAGCCTGTGAGGAGTGCCTCTTCCCGCAGTCAATGTTGCAGGCAGTGCCACAATGTTATAGTAAATGAAGGTGAGTTTTGTTTCTTTTGTAGCTTTCTCTGTATTTAGTAATTTTCTTTTGGTTTTTAGAAGTGTATGTTAACTAAGAAGGTAAGTTTATATTTACCATATATATATGTAAAATGCTAAAATAAAAACAAATTAGGGTTGTACTAGGGACCCTCAAAAGCCCTTTGCTTTCTCTTACTCAGCTTTGAGCAAAACTATCACACGCCCCTCAGCTTCCTGCCTCAGTGAAAGCTGGAAGTGCAGGGCCGAGCCCCGATCCTTGGGTGGACCTCCACTCTGTGGGCAGAGCTGGCTGCGCTGTGTGTGCTGCAGTTAGCACTGACGTCATGCTTCTGTCCTCCCTGCCCCTCACGATGCTCAGCTGCACTTTGTCTGGTGTGCAACGTCTCTTAAAGCCAGAATAGCTTTCAAAGGAGTCTGCATTTGGTCACCATGACTTGAGTCTGAGAAGGGAGACTCCTCCCTGGCTACTGGGGAGGTGCTGCCAGGATCTAGGCTCCCAGGAAGTAGGAAGAGGAAGGGGGAACCAAAGGATAAGGATCGCTGACTTCACAAAAGTCCCTGGAATGCGTATTTGGCAGAGTGCTCCCCTCTGTTCCCCAGCAGTGCAGCCTTCTGTCTGTTCTTTCTCACAGCCAGTCAACAAGTTTGTCGTCTTGGAGGATGACCCTGGGACAGGAGCTGCAGCTGCCTGGCTAGCTCCTACATCACGGCACAAATGCCCAGCATCAGGAGGAGGTGATAGAGGACATCTGTGAGGCAGAAGGAGTGAGACACGGAGCAATGAGACACGGTGGTACAAAGGCCAGGACTACCTGAGCAGACTTAACACAACCGGCAACCAACCCAGGGGCCTTCAGCGGCTCTTCATGAAATTGCACGTTTTACGCAAAGTCATCTCTGCTCATCTCCTGGGAATTCCATAGCTCACTTTTATCAACACAAAGAACCTGGCCAGGAAATCTGGCTTGTGGACCTTTGGCCAGTGGGCACCTGAGCTTGGACCATCAGTAATGGCGCATCTCTCTGTAGGGCTCTTGTGAGAGGGCGTCCTTTAAACATGAGCATCAGGAATTGGACTTTAAAAGGTTGATCTACATGATTTTCCTTTACTGATGAGCACAACGCTGTGCCTGTGAGCTTATTAATCAATGGAATGGTTTTACTCTGACTCCTCACATGGTCACTTGCTTCTCAGTGACTCAGTGAGGCCTTCGGGCTTAGCTGAAATGGTCATTCCTCTGAGAAGTTTCCTGGCCTGCACTCTGAATCAGGTCCCCTCTGTCCTGGCCCTATGCACCCCACAGATTGGGAAGGCCAGGGGCCTTGCCTGTCTTACTCACTGCGGTAGCCACATTGCCCAGAACAGTACTTGGTGCTCGTAACTAAGCCTGACCCTTCCTGGTTGTTTGCTGTGTGCCTGGCTATGTTTGGTGCCTGTAACTAATTGAAAAGTCCTTATAGCACCCTACATGACACAAACAATTATTAGCCCAGCTTCACAGAGGAGCGGCAAGGTCACTGCTCAAGGTCACTCTGTCAGTAAAGAGTAGAACCATAGCAGGGACTCAAATATTTGTTAAATGAATAGATCATTGAGAATCATGCTCTCTAGGGCCAGGGAGATGGCTCAGTAGAATATGCGCTCCCCTGGCAAGTGCAAAGGCCTGAGTTCAATGCCTGATTCCACAAAAAAAAAGGAGAAGGAGAAAGAGAAGGAGAAGGAGGAGGAGGGAGAGGGGGAGGGGAAGGAGACGGAGAAGAAGAATCATGGTCTTTAAATGCAAGAGTGCCCATGATATTTCCCAGAAGTGTTACTTTCCTTACCTGAGAAATTATAGAGGCTCGGAAATCCCCTACCTAGAGTGAGTAAAGAGAGAATGGGGTTTTAAGGGAAAAATCACAGCAGGAGGTCTCAGAGTTGCATTTCTAAAACACAAATCTGATCATATACCCCCAGCCCCCAGCCTCCCACGTTAAACCATGAGCACCCCGTTGCCTTTGGGGAGGACAGAGTTTATAGTGAAGTTTGCAAAGGTGTCAGCTCCAGCGTCTTCTCCTGGACTCTCTAAAGGCAGACCTTGGTAAACTTCAAGCAAAGGATGAATTAGTAAATATTTTTAGCGTTGTGGGCATTACAGTCTCTCTTACAGCTAATCCACACTTTCACTGTAGTGTGAACAGCTATAGACAACACTATACCACCTAAATGAGCAAGTCTATTTTAATAAAACTTTAAAAGCCTGAAACCTGAATTTCATATAATTTTATGTATGTTGCAATTTTTTTAAAATACAAATGGAAAACCTTCATGTATTTATTTATTATTTTTTAGTTTGCAAATCACACCAACTCAGCAGTAGCCTGGGCCCAGGCCTGGGCTTTAGTTGGTAACTACACTCTCAGGTATCCAGGCAAAGGCCAGCTTTCTTGTGAATGCTGCTTGCTCTCGGGTTATAGCAGCCTTCGGGTCACCTTAATCATTTCCACAGAGGCCTCCCCCCTAAGCCTTGGATGGAGTTGGACCCCCTTGCTACATACTTTGGTATCATCCTGACCACCACCACCCCATTTTAACAGTAATCTCTGTCCTTGCTAGATGGCCAGTTCTTTGAGGAGAGGTCCCCCGTAGGTCTTGTTGGGCCCAAACTCCAGGCCAGGCAGGGCTGAATGCTTTATAAAGGTTTATTGACTCATACTTCACTTTCTAAATTTTTAAAAATCTATTTGTTTACTTATTTGGTGCAGGGTCTCACTATGCAACTTGGACTCCTAGTGATTCTCCTATCTCAGCCTCCCCAGCGCTGGGATTACAGGTGTGCACCACCATGCCTGGTCTCAGTGGGGTGGTCTCACAGTGCTCCCAGGGTTCCGGGGCTGGCATGGCATGTGGTACTGGGGAATCAAACTCGGGACCTTCTGCTTGCCAGGCAGGCACTTAGATCACTGTGCTATCTCCTCAGCCCATCTACTTGACTTTCTTAGATATGTGTACACTTATCCTTTTTTTTTTTTTTTTTTTTTTGGCAGAAGTGGGGATTGAACTCAGGCCCTTGCGCTTGCCAGGGAAACGCTCATTCCTGGGGCTATCTCCCTGGCCCCTTTGACTTTCTTAGAACGTTTCATTCTCTCCTCCTTTTGTTCACTGCATGCTTGTGTGGGAGCTAAGCACACTCCTTGGGGGCCTCTGGATTCAGCAGCCAATTCGCCCCGCAGGGTGCAGCACCCAACAAACCTTCGTGCCTTATTTGGCATGAGCTGCCTCTCACCTCTTGCCGGGAGACTCTGGCGCAGAGGAGAGTTGTGTTCACAGGCACACCTGGTTTGGCAAGACAGTGAAAATGCTCAAACCAGCTGTGCCTGCGAACGCAGCTCAGAGGTAGGCAACCATGGAAACAGGGGCTTACTTCGTAGGGACAGCTCCACCACCAGGACGCCGCCTGTCTGGTCTCGCAGCAGCCGCTTCCTTTTGTCACAGGTCTGAGGAGGCAGTGGAGAGAGAGAAGATTAGAACGATTTGAAACAACAGCAACAAAAACAAAAACAAACTGGGCGGAGTAATACTTTCTCAATCAATACATACAGTGGCCTTATATTTGTAATTCAGAGAAGCCAGGAAAAACTTTATTAACTCTACAGGCTGGAAGGGGGCAGGGAGATAGCTCAGTAGAATAAGGGCTTCCCTGGCAAGTGCAAGGGCCTGAGTTCAATCTCTGGTTCCGGAAAAAAAAAAAAAAAAAAAAAAAAATGGTGCTGTCAATACCGTGTTTGGATCAACTGTGAAATGGTTTTCCCTGCCTTTCCCTAACTGGCGCCTGCTGGCTCCATGCTGTCCCTGTCCTGATCTGCGCCTATTAATAGCCATTTGCTGGCCAAGTGCATCTGCAGAGGTAGCCACGATCGCCACCTTTCTGCCAGTGCTCAGGCATGTGGGTGGGCAGCCTTAGGGAACCTGAGGCTTTGAATCCAAGTACACCAGAAAGGACAACAGTTGGCGATTCAGCCCTCTGAAGTCCTTGAGGTGATGGCTCTGAAAGTCAGTGATCACAGACTGCCAGCCCTTCTCACGGCCCCATTAGCCTTGGTCCAGAATTTCTGCAGCATCCTCTGCGGAGACTGTCCCACCAAGACTAAATGCCCACCTCTTGGGTTTTGTCCACACCTTGAATTCCCTTGTACTTTTAACTTTTTCAGAGCATTGCCATGTTCGTTATCACCTTAGCTATACAGTGCAGGCTCTGAAAAGTGAAAGATAGTCACTTCTTATCAGTGTAGACGAAGAACCAGGCCCAGTGGATTAAGTGACACGTGGCACCCTGGGTAGGTTGAGAGTGGCAGGGTGCACAGCGCTCCAGCTTCTCTCCCTGCACCTGTGTCCTTTCCTCCAGAAAGCCACTTGCACACACACTGCCCCCACACTGGCCAGTATGCACCCTCCCAGCTCAAGCCCAGCACCCTTGGGTGACAGTCCCCTTCACTTCACAGAGAGGAGGCTCACCACAGGGCAGGAGAGCTTCTCGCTGTCACAGATGAATGTCTCACAGTGTAACCAAACCTTGGAGAGTTTGGGAATGTTCTGGAACCGGAAGGCGTTGAACTGGAAGGTTGCCCTGTGATCCTTCCCATTCTCATGCACGAGGACTGTCTCATCTGTGGGGCAGCTGGTGCGCACAGGGAAGGAGGACAGTCAGGGTCACTCTGGGAACCTCAGCAAGGGCTCTGAAGCTAATGTGTGCGGAGCAAAACTCCCTAGATTTGTCGGCCACTCTGCCCTTCTGAGCACTGTGGCAGGTGGCATCTCCCTTAATTTTCACAGTTATGAGGTCAAGGGGAGGGACCGTGACACAGGCATGATTGTTTCCATTCTACAGACAAGGTACAATGAGAGGGGAGGGACTTATGGGAACCCACACACCAGGTGAGTCATTCCTCTGTCATCCAGCAGTGAGACCCTCAGAGAGGAAGTCTTCTCATGGCTTGGGATCTTGCAGCCTCCCAAGGGGACAAAAGACAAAGGGCACAGTGCTGGAAGCAGCACTTCCTAGGCCTGCGCTAGCCATCCTCATCCTGTGCATCTTAAAGCTTGCTATTCGAAATTTGAATTTATGCTGCACTATTGAAATTACACGTACATTATCATCTTTGTAAAAATGTCCCATTCTGAGCACACAAAAAGAAAATGAGTGGTGAGGTGACCTCAAAATGTGTCTTTGGCTGACAGCAAGGTGGAGCTAAGGCACAGCATGTCTGAGATTTCATGAGTAAAGTCTGGGGTGAAGGTTCTGCCTGTATATCTGGACCAAGGGCCAGAGCTTGCTCTGTTTGTGGTGACCTCTGAGTGGTGACAGAGCTGTGGGCATTTTCCAGGTTATAAAACAAGACACTTACAGGCTCATCTGGTCCATGAACCTGAGATCTCTTGGCGAACTCAAGGTGAGAGGCCTTAAAAATAGCTCTTTGCAGCCCGGTGTCCCCAGCATGGTGACTGGCAGTAGGAAAGAATGTAGACAGCTTTGGTAGAGGGTGAAGCAACACACAGACCTTGGTGTCTTGGCGGTGGGGCTCTGGGCACAGGCCATGGCGCCTGCCCTTCAGTGACGGCTACCCTCTGCAGCTACTTGGAGGGCTCGTGCCCTTGCCATGCAAGTCCCTTGCACACCAGCTCACTCTGAGGTGGGTGTGCTATCTGCACACACTCATTGCAAGGCGAGGCCCTTGACATACACCACTACCATCTCTCCAGGAATGCTTGCACACTGGAATTTGCTCCAAAAGGGCCCAGTATGAATAAAAGTTATCCTTCCAAGCTAGAAGAAAGTAGGGGGATCCCCCACCTCTTGGCTCTCAAGAGTGGTACCCACCCCTTGTTGATCAGCTGCCACTGGAGGGGATACATGAAGTCGGCTGACGGAGTGGCCCAGCAGCTGTTCAAGACCACTTTAAACCTGGAAATAGAAGAACATGGCATCATTGTGAGCCAGCTTCTTATGCCGAGAACTGTCTGGTTATTAAAACATCTCTTGGATGGTCTCTATTTCTTTCTGTTTAAAAATATGAATGTAGTAGAAGTATACTTACCTAGTGCTTAACCCTTTGGCCTCCACTCCTGCAAATAGATCTGAACCAATTTCAGATGTCTCCAGGACAAAGGGGGCTTCTTTCTTGGTGGAGAACTTGGCGTTCTTTGGAAAGAAATTGACACTTAGGCATTACGAGCTGTCAGACTGAGCACTGGGGATTGGAAGGGCAGATGAATGGGAGTGGGAATCAGACCCAAAGAGCAAGCACGGGAGGCTGCAGGGCGACTTCTAGGACCAGAGAAGTTGTACCTTCTAGGACACTGTGTCATCCTGGAAGGTGACAAACATCCCATGTTCTAGATTTGCTGGTCATGGTGGGTTACACACACACATGTATATGCACCTCATTTGTGCCAGCAAAATTTGTCTAATGGGGAAAAAATTACAATGCAGGCATGCTGAGATACTATGTTTTATGAAGCCAAGGACAAGAAGGACTGAACACACACAGCCACTGTCTACCCTGGTTCTCCTCTAATTCTTACCTGAGCAGATTTCACCCTGGCTTGGAAGGTTTACGATGTGCTTCCAGTACAGTTAATAACAGTTGTGCTAAAGCATCTCTTATTAGTTGCCTAGTATGCATCAGACACTGATCTATATATTTGCATAGTTTCGATGTTAAGACACTCCATATATTGAGATATTTTAGTGAACAAAAGAAAGATTTGTCTCCAGAGATCTGATAGTCTAGCAGGAGTGAGAGACAACAGAAAGTTATACAGTGAATTAGAAGAGACTACAGCACGTGACATAGGAAAGCAAGAATGATGGAGCAGGGAAGGCGGGTTAGAATGCGGAAGGGCAGGACGTAATTGTAGATATGGTGCTGGGCATCATGTATTGTATTACAGCTTCATGTAATACAAGCAGAAAAGGGAGAAAAATGAAAACCGGACACATGGATCAGGCACAGCAAGCCAGGCCCGTGGGGGCATTTAATCTATGCCCAAGTCCCTGGGCAGCACAGAGCCCCCTTTCCTGACATCTGTTTACCTGGAAAGGCTTTGATGGGACCTGGAAAAAGCCTTGGCTTCATTTCTGCGACAGTGCAGGGAAATGCCCTGTAACTCTGTGTCCCCAGAGGGCGGTCTGGGTCATTCTGAGAACATGCCTCTTAATTATTATTTTTTTTAAAGAATAAATTCTTTCTAGCTCTAAGATTTGATTTATTTTTGTCTTTTTAAGACAGGGTCTTGTGTGCAGCTCAGGCTTGCCTTGAGCTCACTTTGTAGCGCAGGATGGTCTGGAAATTGCAATGATCCTCCTGCCTCAGTCTCCCTAGTGCTGGGATTGCAGGCCTGTGCCACCATGCCCAGCTTTAAGATTTGATGTTTAGGGCTGGTGAGATAGCTCAGCAGACTAAGCACCTGCTTAGGCAAGTGCAGGGACGGGGGTTTCATGCCCTGCACCACATGCTGTGCTGGCCCTGCCCCTGGGTGCGCTGAGCCGACCACCAAGACTGAGTATGGTGGTTCACGTCTGTAATCCCAGCGCGGGGGGGGGGGAGGGGCTGAAAGCAAGAGGATCACTATGAGTGTAATGAGACCCTGATATATATATATATATATATATATATATATATATATATATCCCAGTAAGGGGGATGGTGGGTGATGATTTTTGAAAATTCTGTCCCCTTTCTATTGACACCTGCTATAAAACCTTCATGAGTTTGTATTTATAATTTCATCTGGTTAAAGTAACAATCTTTTATTGCTGAGCAGAGACTCGATAGTAGAGAGCCTGCCGTCAGGATGTCTGCTGAGGCTTGCCAGTGCGTGCCGACCCAGCTCCCCTCTGACAGGCTCCGTCGGGGACAGCAGTGGCTTGGCTACTCTTCCAACACAGTGGTGGCCCACACTGGATTTGTCCACTGGAGATAGGTCAGGGGCTGTGTGGGGTTCCAGTTCTCAGGACCTAACCACTCCTGGAACATGGCTAAGGGAAGTCCTAAGTTTTAGGGGACTTTATAAAGTTTGGAAAGTCCACTTCAATTTAAAAAAAGAAGAATTTTGAATCCAAAATGAGACTCAGGGCCTCTAAGGGGCCCCTGTAGGGCAGGGGCCCTCAAACTTACACTTGCTGACCCACATGGTCACTGTAGAGACCACGGCTAGGGGGTCTGTGTCCTAGGATGGCTGCTCCTCCAAAGTACCTGTGGGACCTATCAATTGAGAAATGGGTAAATAAGATGTATTTTTACACAGTGGAGCATTCCCCAGCTATCAGAAAGATAAATTTGAATTTGTTTTGTAGATAAATGGATGCAGCTAGAAACTATATTGGTAAGTGAAATAAATTCAATCCACATGCACAAAATATTGTCTCACTGATGTGAGAACCTGGAAGAGTGATGAACATCTAAAAGGTACAACAGATACTGGGAAAGGAAAAGAAATTGTTCAATGAGAAAAACTGGGATGAGGGAAAGGACAAATGAAAGAAGGGAAAAGATGCATTGAGGCATATATGCAGGATAGTTCGGATAACTGTACTGTCGAGTTCTGCTGGTCTTTTGAAAGGAGCAATTAATGCTTAAAAATGTATTTTAACTATGATTTTTTTTTCCTCTTTGAACTCCTTAGTTATTCTTTTGTTTTCTTTAAATGAATCTTACATATTTATATCTGGTAATCTCAACAACTAATATGAAGACAGCATCATGTAATACAGCAACCATTGTTGAATTCTTATTACTTTGTTTAGTGAAATCTTATATCATTTCTAACACTGTTTTCCTTTTTCTTTTCTATCAGTATTTTGTATTATTTTTTTTTTTTTACTATTTTGTATTCTTAAAAAAAAAATTACCTGTGTCATTTTGGAAAAGTCCCTTGCTCTCTGGAGTGCAGTTACTCCTCTGTAACACAGGCTGGGTGTTCTTGGTCCTCCCAGCTCTTCTGCTGAGCTCGGCAGGGTTAGTGCTGCATTCAGGCAGCAGCCAAGCAAGCTCCGAGTCCACAGGCAGTGGAAATCCAGGTAGGGCAGGATTTCCCTTCACGAAATGACTGGCTGGCATGAGTTGCCCTCTAAGATTTGTCTTCCAGTTCGGATGTATGTAAAGGTTTGTGTTCCTGCCTGCGGCTTCCTCTACCAGCTGGGCCAGTGTCCTCTCTGCGTGTTTGTGTCCTCCCTGGAAGTGCGAGTTTTAAACACAAGGTGCCCCTTCTGCATGAGAGGAGCACTGAGCTAACAGCCTTGCACATTTGGTTCCTCTGGAGCACTTTATTTAAACAAATTCCAGAGCGTGCCTTTAAATACTATCTCAATATCAGCAGCAGGCCCAAGTTGGACAATGAGGAAACCCATTAGCTCCAGAGACTAAAGAACCAGGCAGCAGAGGCCACCCCTATGCTTCTCCTCAGCTCTGTCTCAGTCGGGAAGCCCAAAACTTTCTGCCAAATGTCTTAAGAGCTAGGTGCTAAGTATGAAGAAATTTTTGAAATGAGTTGCGATAAAAACTAACCTCGATTAAGAGTCAGACATTGGCTGTATTATAGTCTAGCCTGGCTTAGGTTTCTCGCCTGTGAAATGGGCAGGTCGGTCTTAGATCTGGGGGGCACCATGCAGCTCTTTCATGCACCTATGAATGTGCCTTTCAGCTCTATCTAGACTGTAAAGAGGTTTCAAGCTAAAGCAAAGTTTCTATTTCCATTTGAACGTAGAACCGGGCTTTGCATGGAACTTGAGCAAGAGTAGATTCAGAGGAATCCACTCATCGCCTTCAGAAAGATCGGGGGTGGGGGGAGGGAGGCCAGACTCACGGTGTAGAAGTTGAGAGACAACTGGCTTTCAAATGTGCCCATGCTCCCATTCTTCACGTGCACGGTGGCCACTCTGAAAAGGGGAGAGAATGTTGCATAAGGACTGAAACACGCCCGCTTGATAGGGACTGCAGCACACCCGCAGGCGGCCAGCCCCCGGCCCCGCAGAGCAGCTTACCTCTGGTCAAAGGCAGCCTGGTTCACCAGGTAGGTGGAGTGGTAAGTGCAGGAGAAGGAGTAGTTCACGGGCTGGTTCTTCACAATCACTGTGCTGTCGTTGGAAACAATGTGGCTGTAGAAGTGGTAGATGGGAGGCTTGTACTGCGAGAGCGAAGAAGTCAGGTGTTAGGTGGCCCTGGGCTCCCCAGGAAGGGGGTCAGCATTTTAGGAAAGTGGATGGAGATGGCTTGTAGAGCAGCCCGACGGGAAGGCACGGATGTTTGCCACTGATGGCAAAATTCATTCCTTTGTCTATTGGTGAGCTGAGTTTTTAAAGGAGTGCTTGAGTCCCTTCAACTAAAATAATCTAATAATAAAATATTGTAGGTTGATGTCAAAGAGATAGAAGGGGAGGGAAGGAGGGGAGTGGAAGGGAACATAAAAAGAAATAAAGGGCTGGGGAGATGGCTCAGTGGAATAAGTGCTTCCCTGGCAAGCACAAGGACCTGAGTTCAATCCCTGGTTCCGCAAAAAAAAAAAAAAAAAAAAAAAAAAAAAAAAAAAAAAAAAGAAAAAAGAAAAAAAAGAAATAAGGTGTGTTATGTGCACGCACCATCTTTCCATGATGATCATTATGCACACAGACATAACACACACAATAAAATCTAAAAGGTCATAAATTCATCTGGCATCAACCAAAAGGAACCAACTTAAAATCTCTTTCTCAACCTCAACTCTTTTTTAAAATATATGTATATATTTAGTACAGGGTCTATAGCATTTACAGGGTCTCACTACATAGATTGGACCTGTGATTCTCCTGTTTTCAGCCTCCTGAGTGCTGGGATTACAGGCATGCGCCACCACGCCTAGTCTCAATCTATGTCTCAGCATGTCGCGCAGGTGCGGCCAGCATGACACACTGGGGATCAAACCATGGCCACTGTCAACCTCAACTTTTCATGCATCTCCCTGTTTGAGTGTCCTAGGTGAATGACTTCACCCATCTCCCCAATCTGAAGTGTTATTGTCTAGTGCTTTGCTGTTCTCCTTCTTCCAACTAAATTCTGATGGTAAGATTTTCTCCCCTGGCATGTTGGACCTGGAAATCACACACACTGGCAGGCAGTAAGTGGCCTGGGATTGTGGAGATGATTTCTAGGTCACCTTGCTAGGATATATTCAAGGACAGGACGCACTGCTGGCTGCATACATGGCCCTGCCCATGAACTCTCTGGATCTTGGTGGGCCTTCGGGATTAGAGCTGGCCTGGAAGCTCCCCCTCACATTTTTTGTATTTATAATCTGGTGTCAAGCCAGCAGGAGTGCTGGATTACAGGGAGAGGGTCAGAAGACCTAGTCTCTCTCTGCAACTGTGTCCCTTTGGATTCTATCGTCCTAAACTGATAACTTTGTTGGGAGGTCTCAGATTTCTCCTTCTCTGCCGTATTAGGGTACTTGGCAAGAGGAACTGTGTTTCCTTAAGATTCCATGATTCCTTGTCCTGGATTCTGCATGTGACCCAGTTAAGGTCTGTATTAGATGCTGGTCACTCCTTTAAAATGCTCTTCCAAATGCATTTTATTATCATTTCTAAGTTCTGGGAATAGAGCAGCCCAGGAAGAATGGTGGTTTATGAGAGCAAGCTCTGAATTAGAAGTGAGTTAGAGCCAGGAAATGTGCTTTGTTCTATTCCCAGAAGGTGACCTTACTGGCTCTGGTAGGAAATTAGGAGAACAAAAGTCAAGCCAGAAGAATTACTAAACTAGGAAGATTATATGAGGAGTGACTTTTTTTTTTTTTTTTAATACAAGGTCTTGGTATGCAACTTGGCCTCAGTGATCTTCCTGTCTCAGCTTCCCTAGTGCTGGGATTAAAGGCATACACCACTATGCTCAGTTCTGAGGCCAGTGCAGTGTGTTCAGGGTTCCAGGGCCAGCACACAGCATGCAGTACTGGGGACTGAACTCAGTACCTTGTGTCACACAGGTGCTTAGACCACTGAGCTACTCCAGTCCTGAGGACTGACTTTGAACAGGAAATCCTGAATCCTCCTACGGATGGGCAGCAAGCCTGGCATTCTGGGCCCAGCTGCCTCATCTTAAGCAGCTCTGCATCCTGTGGCCCAGCCTTACCTCAGACTGGGTTCCGCAGTAGGACTTGTTTTTAGGCGATAAGTCTGGGATGACAAACTGGTAGTAGCCGCCTTCGTGGACCCCGTTGTAGCACAGCCCCCCGAGGGCCAGCTGGTGCACTTCCCATCCGTAGGGGCACTCCGGGATTTTGGTGATGATAGTTTTGGGATAACAAAACACAAGAATGACATCTAGAAGCACACACACAGGGCCTGAATCAGACACGGTCATCGCACCAGTCTGTGTACAGAGCGGCATGTCTCATTCATGCCAGGAAAAAACATTTTCCTGCTCCTCTTCCCCAGCTGTTAGGAATCTCCCCAAATTTCTGCTGCTAAAGTTCTACTTTAATACCTTAAGCTACATCTATTTAATAACTGCATATACATTGCATATGTGTCTTAAATGGTCCATTTTTAAGCTTTTACTTTATTTTTGGAGTTATTTCTCCTGTGCAATCACGGATGGGAATATACTGCCCATATCTCCTTAAGAAAATGAGCACATAGAATTAAAAATGTCCACTGCACACACAATATTGTATAACACTGGTTTGTAACACAGCACAGTAATTCAATAGCCAAATAGAAAAAAAAGTGAGGATGTTTTACATACGATGTGTTTTTCCTTGGTGACATTGTTGGGTTTTCAAAACAAAGCGAGCAGGATACAGCTGCAATCACTGCAAAGGGAAGCTTCAGGAGGGGTTCTTGGTTAGGCAGGAGGCCTGGTGCTGGCGCCTACCTGCTTTGTTTGGCGTGCAGGACCTCGCTGAGGCCTCCGCGAAGACGGCCAGCAGGACCAAGGCCTTCCCCGCCATTGCTTCGTAGAACTGGGGCTTTCCAGGTGTCCAGAGCAAACTGGCCAAACCGTTCTTTCCAGGGCCGGGTCTTCAATCATTCTAGGTCAGAAATACAAGTGAAAAGGTAAAATCAAGGGTCAGAACAAAGCAGCAGTACAGTCCTGGGGGACATTTCTGAGGAAGATTAGTGGCTGGGTCCCCTTTGGGCTTGCTTCTTGTCAGGATGCAGGGGTGCAACTTGGGCTCATACCACAGGGAGCGTCAGCAGCGCAGACGGGTGCTCCTGTTCCCGGCTGTTGCATTCTCTCTAGACAGTGGTGCTCCCCGAATCTCTGGCCCCAGGGCCACCGTGACTTTATATAGCCTGAGCGTGTAAAAGAAGCCGGCTCCAGATAAGTCACAATGAGCATGCATTATCCACTGCAGGGGGAAGAAAAGAGAGCCTTGCACAATAATCCAGGGAGAAGCTCGGTTACCACTTGAATCTAATTTCTTGTTCTGTACAGAATTGGAAATCTGTTTTTTTCTTCTTCACCGCTTGAACCAGGACTGGAATAAAAAGTTGAATGTTTAGCTCCTGTGTACAAAACCAGTTCTAGTGGGAGGACCACTATTTCTGCACAGGTCCAGGTGTCAATTTTATTTTAGTCTTGCTTTCTTATTTTTATGTTTAGGTGAACTAAGCTTTGAATTTAAGAGGACTGACATCCAGCATTATTATACCTGATATGAAAAAAAAAAGGTTGTATTATTACAAACATTGTAAAGGTCACTTTCCCCTAATATTTAAAAAATAAACTCTGATGCCTAGAACTTCATCCTGGAATACAGCTTTACATTGCAAACCCACCAGTCTTCCAAGCTTGATTACTTGTCCAGAGCAGTGACAGTGGAGGAAGGGGCTTAGACTCCCCCATAGTTCAGTCCTCAGTCCTTCAACAGGACTTCCCAGAAAACAGCAGAGTGCGCCCTCCCCATGAAGGGGCCAGATACATTATCAGAAACACATATAATTTCATGTTTCACAAACGCGGGCTGTATCTCTTAAGCAATGTGCCCACATAATAGGACAGAGTTGGCTTATCCTCAAAGCCTATTGTTATACTGATGGTATGTTTTTCAATGGTAGCGTCAAAGAACTAAGGAAATATCTGTATGGCAAGCCACTAAAATATTCCCGTGACTCAGTTTCCTTCCCTGTAAAGTAGAGGCTGTAGCCCTGGACTGATTTCATAGGACAGGAATGCAAAGCAATGACATGAAACCCCTTGTAAACTATAAAGTACTAGATAAGTATGTAGGTTTATAGGAAAAAATAATAAACAGGTTCTGGGAATGTGTGTATCTCCAAGAGTTCCTTTTTTCTTCCTTAGAAATACCAGAAAGTATCTCACTGTAGACCTAGGATTCATGCAACAAGAGGCATGAATATATTGCATAACACATATGCTGTACATATTATAGAGAAGAATCACATTATCTCAGGATGGCCTCAAACTTGCAATGATCTTCCTGCCTCAGCCTACTGAGTGCTGGGATTACAGGTGTGCACTACCATACCTGGCTAAGGGAATATATTTTTAAAAAATATTTTAACAACAGGGTTTGTTTTAGTGTGGCTTGGAAACATCAGGAATAGTTTCTATTCTGTTCTTCATAGCTCGTTCCTGAGTATGAAAAATGTCACAGGGATCTCACATATGTAGATTCAGAGTTTCTCTTCCCGAAGACTCAGCTCTAATTCTGGGTTTCTTCTCTCCTTTCTATTAAACACTTATTGAGCCCCTGTAGCACGCTAGCTATTGGAACTGGAAGACACTACAATCTCAGAAGTCATTTCCTTGCCTGAGGAGCTAGCGGGGAGGCGGCACAGAGAGCCATGGGAGTCCATATTGGAAATGGAGAATGGGAAGGGAAAGATGGAGGATGAAAATGCTTGGGAGAGGATGGAACAAGTAAGTCATTCAAGGTCTTGCCAGCGTAAAGCAAGCCAACTGTAGAAGGACCGTGCCTGTGACTTGACATAAATTATACTCATCACCAACAGCTCAGCATGGCCCTTCATTGTGGGTCAGGGTCCTTATTCCAATTTCAAAAGGATCCTTTTCTCACAACTTCAAATATGTTCTTCTGAGGCTGGCCAAATAGTTCAGTGGATTTAAAGTGCCTGCTTAGGCAGATGCGGGGGTGGGGAGTTTGATTTCTGGGCCTGCCTTGCTGGCCCCACCGCCAGGGTGCACTGAGGCAGCAATTGAGACTGAGCGTGGTGGTGCGTGCCTGTAATCCCAGCACTTGGGAGGCTGAAAATAGGAGGATCATTGCTAGTCCAATCTACGCAGTGGGGTGCTGTACACCCTGCATACCTTGTCTTAAATACAAAATCTGCCAACTTGGGCCCATGCAAGTCAACAATGTCCAAGTACTGCTCGCCCAAGGATGGGTTATCGCAGCAGGGTTGTGGGGAGGTCAATACCTTTCTTTCTCCAGTGGGAATGCTGAGGGCTCTCACAAGAAGCTGTAAATTACTGTGGGGTAAGGTGGAGCTTTTAGAGTCTAGTCCTGCCTGGAATTCAAATCCCCTCTTGGTCACCTACTGGATGTGTAGTCTTGCGTACGTTACCTAGACTTTGTGGAAAAAAAAAAAAAGCTAAATGTTTTTAGCTCAGATTCCTTCTCCTTGGGGAGGACATGAGAAAGCCTATGCCATAGTGTTATTCAGAACTTGAAGAGTGGTGTATGTCGGTATAGACATGCTTCCTTCTCCCCCATCAGAGCAAGGCACTTGGAAAGCCTTTTGTGTGTATGCTAAGTTCTACTTGAGAAATCAAAAAATCAGAGTCTATTAAACAACTCACTACTACAGAGCACAGGTTATTGTCACCAGCACTAGATTCCATCACCCTGGAATTAGAGGTCATAGTTCTGTCATGCTTTCAATTGTGTGATCTCAGGCAAATTAGCTGGACCTAGCTGAGCCTTCGGTGTCCAAACCGATACATGGGGCTGCGCAACTCCCAAGCTCGGTGCAAGGACACAGCGAAATAATCCCTGTAAATGGCTTAGCGGGGGCAGCCACACAGTGAGCACTCCAGACTCACTTCAGAGATTGGTAGCTTCCAGCTGGAAGGACATGTTGACCATGTTCTCATGTGAACCCTGAGGGTGTCTTAATGGCAATTATTCTCCTTTTCGAAGCCCACCTTAACAAAGGAGTAGGTGCTTTTGATTTCTAGAGAAGCCTGCAAATGATAAGATTCTGAGACAGAGAAACAGAGCTCTCCTACAATTTCTTAGAGCGGAGACCCTGTGAACAATCAGGTACATGATACTCCTTTCGAGGACAAGCTGAATGAAGTTGGGGAAGTGGATTCCACTTTTGTGGCAGGCTAGTCTCTAGATGTTTGATTTGCATAAGAAATAGAACGGGACAAAATGTACTTGGACCAAACAGTATTTGATACTTGCTCTGATACCAAGCTGGAGGCCTCTATTTTTTTTCTGGTAATTACCCACTATTCCGAAGCCCCATGCCAGTCTCCTCTCTGTTCTCCATCACTCTCCTCCCTTCCTGCGATGAAGGGAGGGGCAGCACTGGGAGATGCAACCCAAGCGCCAAGTCCCTTGCTGAGGCCATTGCTAAGTCTTCAGAGCCTCACTTTCCCCTCAGAGCCAGTGGAAAGATCTTCTCCACTCTAGGATTCTGAAAGAGCCCCACAAGGAGGGTTTCATGGGCCTCATCAAAAGATGAGCTTGTCTGTCATGTATCTCTTTCATGAACTGCCAGACAAGAGAGAGCACTGGTTCTATTTGTCCTGAATGATCAGTGAAAGCTGGTACGAAACCAAAAGCATTGCTGCTTGCAAAATTCCAATCAATATTTTCAGTTGTAGTTCAGAAATCATCAATAGGTGATGAGTCACGATAGAGAATCCTCGTGAGCTCTTACAGAGGTAAAACAGGGAATTTTAAAGTAGAGCCAATAAGCATTCATTAACGTTTAAAAAGCTGCTATATCAGCATATTTTGAAAGTGCATTGTTTGAGTTCATTCAGTGTTGAACTTCTTCAGTGGGCTAGAGTGTTTCCTTTTGACTCTGAATCAAGCCTTCTTCCCTCTTTCGGAAGCTCAGTCTGCCAATTTGCAAGAGAAGGCGGGTTCCCATCCAGGTCTCCAAGGCTCAAACTCCATAGCATTTCCAGAAATCCATCATCTTCCAGAGAAAGTATGCTTCATAAAGGACAATTGAAAAGCTGAGAAAAGATGCTCTGCTGGTAGCGCAGCAGGAATTCCGAGCCAGGAGCCCGGACCCCACAGCCCAGGCTGCAAAGAACAACATCATCTCAGGCAGACAAACTGGCGTCTTCTCTTGCTGATCTTTAAACTGGAACAATGTCACCATCTGAAGGATAGGACCCACAGTCCTGTCTGTCACCACCCCACTCTCCCCACCCTTGTCTACCTCTCCACGGCCCTGCTCTCCTCCGATGTTACTCCTAATGCTGAGAATGAAAACATAGCTCTTCATCAGACCAAGAGTAAGGATCTGTGGTGGCTTCTACCTAGTGTCTCCTCACAGTCTCATGCTCTCATAGGTGGGGCTTTGGGAGGTGACCAGGTCGTGGGGTTGTAACACTGGAATAGTACACTGATTGTTTTAACAGAGCTCTGGGTGTGGAGAAATGCATGGAAGAGGGAAGACCCATGCTGGGTGTGAGTGGCCCAAGGAACAGGCTCGAAGCCTGGATAGAATAAAGAGCGAACGAAGAAGGAAGGGTTGATGCTGTCCACCACACTGTGGACTGTTTGTCCTCTGCCATGTCACCCCATCTTGGAGCCAGACAAATATGAACTGAAACTCTACAAATTAAAGTAAAACTTTCTCCTTTTAACTTGTTCTTGTGTGGGTCATCCCAGCAATGAGAAAAGTAACTGAGACAATCTCGTTGCCAGGGTAAAACATTGCAGGAAAAGAATTCTGTTTTTGAAACTTCCCAGAAAATCATTCATGTATTATTTCA